CTGTGTTGCCCACACTGGTCTCCAACTCCTGACCTCAGGCAATCCTCCCACCTCAGCCTCCCAAAGTGCTGGGATTACAGGTGTGAGCCACCACACCCAGAGATACTTGTTTTTAAACTAGAAGTCACTTTATGGGATTGATGGAAACTGTTGGGAAAAGGGGGAGAATGCTAAAACCTTCCTTCCTGACACCCCACCCTTTCACCCTGCTGTTTCTCCGGGTCATTCTGATGCCCCGTGAGCTTTGAGAACCTCTGATTCTGACCATGAACTTCTTGAGGACAGAGATTGTGTCTTGTCCTCTATTTCACCCCCAGCACCTATGGCTCTATCTGGCACATGGTTGGCATTCAGTTAACGTGTATTCAATAAATGATGCAATGAATCGATGAACAGATTAATGGAATAAATGCTAGCACAAAAGGATTTGTCAAATTGTTGATAAAAACAGCCTACAACAATAAGGAACTGAGGTGAGGGATTAAAGGAACTGTTGGAAGAAGCATAAACAACCAGATTGTTCAGAGGTCAGTGTGAGTGTTTACTGTTGCAGAGAGTTACTGAGGCGGCTTGGTAGTGACTTGTGTCTAGTGTGGGCACAAACGTTTCCGGGCACTGGACAGCCAAGCAGGTGCACATTGCTTTGTATCCGTCTAGATATGGGATCTACTGACAATGGTCAACACCCAAGAAATAGTTACAGGCCGGGCAAGGTGGCTCACACCTGTAATCCCAACACTCTGGGAGGCAGAGGCGGGAGGATCGTTTGAGCTCAGGAGTTCGAGACCAGCCTGAGCAAGGGCAAGACCCTGTCTCTACTAAAAAAATAGAAAAAAATTAGCTGCACAACTAAAAAAAAGAAAAGAAAAGAAAAGAAATATATATATATAATTAGCCAGGCATGGTGGCGCATGCCTGTAGTCCCAGCTACTCGGGAGGCTGAGGCAGGAGGATTGCTTGAGCCCAGGAGTTGGAGGTTGCTGTGAGCTAGGCTGACGCCACGGCACTCACTCTAGCCTGGGCGACACAGTGAGACTCTGTCTCAAAAAAAGAAAAGAAAAGAAAAAAAAGAAATACTTTCAATGATTTAGATACTGTTCCAGGCACTGCGTGTATATTAACATATATGTGTATCATCTCATTTAATTCTCACAAGAACCTTAACATCACACAAAAACTCCATTTTCTCATGATGAAAAAGTGTAATTGTATAACATGCCCATGGTCATAGAGCTAGGAAGTGGATTAAAACCCGGGGAGCCTGGTTCCAGAGTTCTTACCCACTGCACTGCAAGGCCCAGAGACCTGTACCCCGTAGCCGGGCAAAGAACAGGAGAGACAGAGAACAGGCCCTGAATGTATGATCTGTTAGGCTGAAGGAACACAGCACCTATGGCATTTTGGGACTAGGGGCAAGTAGTTTAATGCAAATGCACCTGTACCCTAAAGTCTTAGAGACTTACGCAGGACAAGTGACTTGTTCAAGGTCGTGCTAGGAAAAGGCACAGCCGGGACTAGAACCCAGCTCTGTCTGAGACCAGGTTGAAGTGCTTTAAAATAATAATGAGAATTTCTAAATTAGGTGCCAAGGGAATGCATACCCAAGGCATTTTATTTAATCTTGGGCCAAAAAAAAAACAAAAAACCTGGCCTCATTATTATGGTTTATTGTATAATGCAATGATTTTGATTAAATGTATTGAGTTGTATCATTATCACCACGATCCAAAGTAGAATATTGTCATTACCCTAATAAGATCCCACATGCCCATTTAGTTAAACCCTGTTCCCACCTCCAGTCAGAGAAAACCACTCATCTACCTTGGGTCTCTATAAATTGCTTTCCCTTAGCTGGAAGAAAAGATTCAGACCCATGAATGTGTCTTAGATTCATCCATGCTGTGGCAGGTGTCAGCATTTCTTTCCTTTTTATGGCTGAGTACTATTCCACTGTGTGACTAGGCTACATTCTGTTTACCCAGTCACCAGTTGACGAATATTTCACTTTTTGGCTATCATGACTAATATCGATATGAAGATATGAATGTTTGTGTACTTTGCATGGACAGGTGTTTCCATTTCTCTTGGGTTAGATATACATAGAAATGGAATTGCTCCGTTGTATGGTAACTTTGTTTACTTTTGCTTATGTTTAATTTCAAAGAAACCATGGCCCGGCATTGAAGCCAAGATCTGAAGGCTGAGGAAAGAAAGAACCAAGGGGAGAGGGGAAGGGAAAATGTTCTGGGTAGTGACAAAAGCACTAGTTTCTTTGTTTCACATGAAATATCTAAAAGGAAATAATTATCACATTTTGTATCTAAAACCCAAGGCAGAATAGTGTTATCAAAGGACATTTGTCAATTTCTTGAAGGTGATAAATGTCCTGCATCACAACACAGTTGCCTTTTCCTAGTTCGAATTGAAACATTCTATGAGAATTCACTTAAAAAAAAAAGCAAAAAAACCCTCCAAACTAATTAAAACAAGACAAAGCAAGCAAACAAACAGAAACCCAAACTCCTGGGCCTGATAATCTGATATGAGAGGGGTGTTTGCCACAAAATCCAAGGCTATTCCTCCTGTTTCTCTTTTTTCTGTGTCTCAGCAAGTTAAGCACCCCAACGCATAGCAATAATATTTAAAGAGTCTGAAAGCCACCACTCTGTTTGCATTTCTTCCCGGAAGACAAATGGTGTTCAGCAAAATGCAGGAAAAAAATAATCATACCCAAGCCATGTTTTTGCAATATGCATTCTCCGCTTTTTGTCAAATTTTGTTAAAGGTGTGTGTGTGTGTGTGTGTGTGTGTGTGTGTGTGTGTGTGTGTGTTTTCCCTTTCTATGTACTTTTCAGCACAAGACAGAGCGAGTATTCATGACTGCAAGCAGTTCAGCCAATCAGTTGTGTACACAATACACTGGTCGTTAATCCAAGGTGACCTGCAGGTTTAAACTTCGTTTGCAAAGGCAGCTACAGTATAACCACAGAGGCAATTACGGCATTACAAACCATGGGCATAGAGTCAGAGAGATGATTTCTAAAAGACCCCAAAGAGAGTTTTTCCTTCCTAGGCTTATGACCAGAAAGAAGTTCATGGCACATTAAGTTTTCCGTCTGAAAGCTAGGACAATCACTTGCCACGGCCTTTCCTAATTTCTAAAAGTGATAGGAGAGACAAAAATGTCAGGATTTCTCTCTATGAAAAGCATTCCCCAAGTACGGTGACACTCCAGCTTCTTTTCTGGACTTCTAAGACTGAATCGAGGGAGGGGTTAGTGGTCTACACGGTGCTATAGTTTGGATATGGCGTGTCCCAGCCAAAGCTGCTGTTGAAATTTGCTTGCTGTGTGCTGGTGCTGGGAGGTGTTTGCGTCACTCAGACCCGCAGAACAGTCTTGCTCTCTCGGGAATGGATTCATTCCTGCCAGAGTGGGTTGTTATAGAGCCCTTGGTCCCTCTTGCCATGTGCCCATTTCCTCTTTGACCTTCTCCTCCATGTTTCTTTCTTTTTTTTTAAATATTTTTTTAATTTATTTTTTTAATTTATTTTTTTCAGCATATTATGGAGGTACAAATGTCAAGATCACGTATATTGCCCTTGCCCCCCTCTCCCCTTGAGTCAGAGCTTCAAGCGTGTCCATCCCCCAGATGGTGCACATTGCACTCATTATGTGTGTATACACCCATCCCCTCCTCCCCACCTGCCCGACACCCAATAAATGTGATTCCTATGTGTCCACTTAGGTGCTGATCCAGGTTAATACCAATCTGCTGGTGAGTCCATGTGGTTCTTGTTTTTCCATTCTTGGGATGCTTCACTTAGTAGTATGGGTTCCAGCTCTAGCCAGGAAAACACAAGAGGTGCTGGATCACCGTTGTTTCTTGTAGCTGAATAGTACTCCATGGTGTACATACACCACATTTTATTAATCCATGTTTTGATGTAGCACAAAAGCCCTCAGCAGAAGCCAAGCAGGTGCCAGCACCACGCTTCCTACACAGCCTGCAGAGCTCTGTGCCAAATAAACCTTTTTTTCTTTATAAATTATCCAGTCTCAGGTGTTCCTTTGTAGCAACACACAAAAAAGACAAAGGCCTCTGGTTAGAGGTCACTCACCAGGGGCTGTCGTGTTCATCCTCTACTTAAAATTATGGTCCCTAACTTTTAGAAATGGCTCCTCGATTTTTCCTTTGTGCAATGCCCCCATTCTCAAGTGCGTGTGCTTTGCTGGGTCTGACCCCACCAACACCATGCACGAGGGGTAGACACGGGACCCAGACCGAACAACTGGAGCCAGGCATGTCCCTGTTCGCAGTGAGACCCATTTCTGGGGTCATGAGATGCCTGGAGCTTTTGCCGAGATAGTCAGCGAAGAGGCAGGTACCCTCTTCCCTGTGGGCTGTTAGGCTGGAAGAATTTAAGTCTAGAGTTGCTGATACATATTTTCCCCGGCTTCAAGGAGGCGTCCTGTCTACAACAGGACAGAATAAAGCCACCAGAGAGCCATCATCTCAGGATCTAGAACCAGAGCTGCTGAAACCTACTGAGCCCTTGGACCAGGGGTCCTCAAACTACAGCCCGAGGGCCACATGCGGCCCACCAAGGACATTTATCCGGCCTGCCGGGTGTTTTTGCCACCGCTGCCTGTCCTGCTTAGCAGCCGACTCGTCCCGGGCCCACAGTGCGCACTCTCCAATGGTCTGAGGGACAGTGACCTGGCCCCCTGTTTAAAGAGTTTGAGGACCCCTGCTTGGACTATTTAAGTTTAAGCCAGTAATTTCTTTCGTGAGCGTTTGCATGGTAGGAGGTTCTGTTACTGGCAACCTAAAAAATTCTGACTGATTTAGGGGCCACCCAAAGCTGTGTTGTTTCATGCTGGAAGAAAATGGGCTTCTCCCCTCCTTTTAAGCCCCGGCTCTGAATCAACATAGAAATTCCAAAATAATCTCATCACATGAAGTTGGCGTCACCGTGCTTTTGCTTTTATTTTTATACAGGTGCCATGCGTGAACATCTCAGCAGGTTAAAAGTGGAGAAATCCCAGAAGATTGGAGCCCTAAAAAGGTAAAGTGACTGTCCAGGGGCACGTGCTGTGGTATGAAGGAAGTGTCATGGTGTTGGAGTCTTCTACTGTCTTTCGCTACCTTTTGGTGGAATGCATTTCAAAATTTAAGATCCTGCGGAGAGGTGGATTGTAAAATCGAGCATTGTCAACGTTGGGTAGTGATCAGCTTTTTTTAAAAAAAAAATGTGAGATAGAAGCCGGGCGCAGTGGCTCACGCCTGTCATCCTAGCACTCTGGGAGGCCGAGGCGGGCGGATCGCTCAAGGTCAGGAGTTCGAGACCAGCCTGAGCAGGAGCGAGGCCCTGTCTCTACTAGAAATAGAAATTAATTGGCCAACTAAAAATACATAGAAAAATTAGCCAGGCATGGTGGCGCATGGCTGTAGTCCCAGAAGGATCGCTTGAGCCCAGCAGTTCCAGGTTGCTGTGAGCGAGGCTGATGCCACGACACTCTAGCCCGGGCGACAGAGTGAGAGACTGTCTCAAAAAAAAAAAAAAAAAATGTGAAATAGAATCGATAACATGAGAATGCACGACACATCGCTTCTCTGCCTCATGGCTAAGGTCAAAAGCAGGATACATCACATACAATAAAGGTAAGAAATATTTTGCAAAGTTTTGTTTCTGTTGCATATAAAAATCAATGTCTACGCACAAATACATAGTTATTGATGCAGTGAGTCTGATATGCACTGTGTATTTTTTATTTTTTTTATTTTAGCGATGCACCATGTATTTTTTTTTCTTTTCTTTTTTTTTATTTTGGCGTATTATAGGGGTACAGATTTTAATGTTTCAATAAATGCCCATTTCCCCCCTCCCCCCCCACTGTGTATTTTTTACTGTAGTTCATAGTCAAAATTTGAAAGCTGCTTTAGTGCATACTTGGGTTTCCTTATGAGCATGTTTTCACCTGGAAGGGGAAAAAAAAGTACATTTTTCATAACAGTAAAGGGTCCCTGGCATCCCAGCCAAGCTGGCCCGTGTGGATGGCCTGGATTCTAAGGAAGCTTCTGACCCTGAGTTATGAACACAGCATTTTTCTGTTTGCCTTCCGCCTCGCTGGGGCTACCGGCAGCAAGAGTGAACTTTTGGAATGCATCTGGGATTCTTTGGAGGGTGAAAGCGCTGCATAAAGTGGAGTCTGGTCTGGATGTGATTCGCTGTGCCCAGAGATCAGGCCGTGCAAGGCGGTCTGAATTGCACCGCATCTGATTTTCATTAACTGCCCGCGATTTCCCCTCCCCCGGATCCGGTCTGTCTGCCCGCTCTGAATTGCTGTGCACGTGGCCGGCTCCCACAGATTGCTCAGCCCTGGTCGTCTGCAGCCGGGTCCACTGCTCTGTTAGAACCCGGGCTGCAATCGGACTGGGCTCGTGTCTGGCGCGTTTTAGACATAAAAATTCTGTCTAGTGGTGAAAGAAACTCCCCTAAGCTAAATGCTGCTGCTTTAGAAAGTTTATTACCAAATACTGTGGAAAAGGGGGAGATTTGATTTCTGAGGCCTAGAGAATGACAACTGTACAATAAATGTTTATTACCAAAATGTGTATGGTGCTATTGCCTGAATTGTGTCCCCCTAAAATGCATACTTTTTTTTTTTTTTTTTTTTTTGAGACAGAGTCTCACTCTGTTGCCCGGGCTAGAGTGAGTGCCGTGGCGTCAGCCTTGCTCACAGCAACCTCAAACTCCTGGGCTCAAGCGATCCTCCTGCCTCAGCCTCCCGAGTAGCTGGGACTACAGGCATGCGCCACCATGCCCGGCTAATTTTTTCTACATATATATTTTTAGTTGGTCAATTAATTTCTTTCTATTTCTGGTAGAGATGGGGTCTCGCTCTTGCTCAGGCTGGTTTTGAACTCCTGACCTCAAGCAATCCTCCTGCCTCGGCCTCCCAGAGTGCTGGGATTACAGGCGTGAGCTACCTCGTCCAGCCTAAAATGCATATATTAAAGCACTAACCCCTAATGTGATTGTATTTGGAGAGGGGGCTTCTAAGCAGTAACTAAGCTTATATGAGGCCATAAGGTTGGGGTCCTAATTCAATAGGGTTTGGGGCCTTATCAAAACAGAAAGAGAGAGATCTCACTCCTTTTTCGGGTGTACACTGCATACACCCAAGGAAAGGCAAGGTGAGCACACGGAAGGTGGCCATCTGCTCACCAAGGAAAGGGCCCTCACCATAACCTGGCCACGCCGGTAGCCTGACCTTGGGCTTGGAGCCTCCAGAACTGTGAGAAAATGGGAGTCTATTGTTTAAGTCTATGCTCTTTTGTTATAGCTGCCCAAGCTGACTCATACGGCTAGGAAGCATTGACCTATCTCAATTCCTTTTTAGTATCAAGACAGTATTGCAGGCCAGGCATGGTGGCTCATGCCTGTAATCCTAGCACTCTGGGAGGCCGAGGTGGGCAGATTGTTCAAGGTCAGGAGTTCGAGACCAGCCTGAGCAAGAGCAAGACCCCATCTCTACTATAAATAGAAAGAAATTAATTGGCCAACTAAAAATATATAGAAAAAATTAGCCGGGCATGGTGGCGCATGCCTGTAGTTCCAGCTACATGGGAGACTGAGGCAAGAGGATGGCTTGAGCCCAGGAGTTGGAGGTTGCTGTGAACCAGGCTGATGCCACAGCACTCTAGCCCGGGGAATAGAGTGAGATTCTGTCTCAAAAAACAACAACGATAACAACAACAACAGTATTGCAGACTTTTTCTTAACCTAATAAATACTTAGGTAGTGTCAGGCATGTTCTAAATTGTTAGCAGTCCTTAACTCATGCAGTCTTCATAGCTCTCAGTCAGGGTCAGCTAAGTTATGCCGCAGTAACAACCAACTCCAAAATTGCAATTGCAAAGCAATTGCAAAAGCAATTGCAAAATTGCTTGTTGCAAAGCGCAAGTGTGGATTTCTTCCTCACACTTGTGTCCTCCTTTGGTCTGGTCGGGGGAAGGCAGGAGAGGGGACTCTCTGGAAGTGACACATCCCTCCATTCATTTTTCATCGACTATAGCAAGTCACAGACTTTTCCCTGAACTTCAGGAGGACATGGAAGTGCTCTCCTGCCATCTTTCTGGAAGGAAGAGAACCAGGCATATTTGCTGAACAGCAGAAATGACTACTGCAACCGGAATATTCTTTTACTATTCCCATTTTACAGATGAGAAAACAGAGACACAGAGAGTTTACATAACTTACTGTAGATCACAAAACTGGTAAATGCAGTAGGGTTACCAGGCTTACCAAACCAAAACACAGGACATCTAGTAAAAATTTGAATTTCAGATAACAGTTTTTTCATATAAATATATCCCATGTGCAGATTTGGGACATATTTCTGCTAAAAATGTATTTGTTTATCTGAAATTCAAATGTAACTGGCTGTCCTGTATTTTATCTGGGAACCCTATACCAGGCAAATCTTTGTCAGCCAGGATTTTTTATTCGATTGTTTTTTTTATTTCGGCATATTATGTGGGTACAGATTTTAAGGTTTCAATAAATGCCCATTTCCCCCCTCCCCCCACAAGTCTGAGTCTCCAGCATGACCATCCCCCAGATGGTGCACATCTCACTCATTATGTATGTCTATACCCGCCCCCTCCCCCCTGCCCAATACCCTATTACTGTAGTACCTATGTGTCCACTTAGGTGCTGCTCAGTTAATACCAATTCGATTGTTTTTTTTTTATTTTTTGAGTAATTATTCCTTCACTACCAAGTCAGCCAGGATTTGAACCTGAGTAATTTTGCTGCAGAAAAGAATATTCTATTCAGTACCATTGTCTTGTGTCTCTGATCTTTTTTTTATTCTTCTTCCAGTGTTAATTTCATATCTGCTCCTTAGCCATATGAATAGGGCCGAAAGCAAATTTGGGGACTTCTCTGTCAGAGGGGGCAAAAAGAATTTTGCAAATGTTTTCTCACTGCATGTTTTCTCAGGCAGAGTCCTGGGAGCTGGGGCGTTCAGGAGGCTGGAGGAATAGGAGGAAAGGGAATCTCTGGTGCAAACATGAATCGTGCACTTTCAGACCTGTCTGCTGACCTGCCCCCTCCTGCTTCTTAGCCAGTGGAAGCAGATAATCAAAGTGACAGTTAATCCCCCAAACTTTCCCCTGTGACTTGGAGATGCGGAGTGTTTGCTTTTACGATCATGCAGTGCTTAGGCTGATAATAAAATTAGCTTGCGTGCTCTGACCATAGTATGCAGGCTTGAGAAGTTGGTTCTATACCACTGGTAGACAGTGGGCGCATAATTATGTACGTGGGTGAGGATTTGAGCTTGAGAGAGGGAGTGTAAAGCCAGCTGAAGACTCAAACTTTTTCAGATACTCTCCCACAGGGTGGATGGCAGACATGCAAATAATTAAGTGTCGATAATGATAATAGCCGATACATGATTAACATTTAATAAATACTTATTAATTACTTGGCTCAGAGCCTGGCGTAAAGCGGGAATTAAATATTTGTTGCATCAAGGAGTGATTGATACCCTGTAAGGGAGATGCCATCATTTGCCCTAGTTTGCAAATGAGGAAATGGAAGTCAGAGAGGCTAAGTGACCATCTGATTAAAATCAGGCCATCTGATTAAAGTCAGAAGAGCTTTGAGTCCAGGCAAGAATGCTGATTTGTCCAAGCATTGGTTTGAAGAGCTCCTCATTACTACTTCCCTTGATTCCACTTGGCCTTCGAAGACCTTCCATCAGCCGGCTGAAGCGGGTGACTCATCACCCCTATTAATAGGGATAATGGCTAACGAACAATTAGGAAGAATGATCAACATGCCTGAGCCCCTGGATAAAAAGATAACCAAGTACAGAAGATTAGCATTTTTGTCATTTCTATGTGGCCTAAAGTTCCACTGCTTAATTCCCTGCAAAAGGAGACCAAACTTTTCCCAAGGCAAGGTTTTAAAGCCAAGTGCAGCTGTCCCTGGAGGAGTGGGTCCAGGACACCTGTGGGTATCAAAATCTTAGAATGATCCCTCATATAAAGTGG